CACAGACTAAGCGAGCAAACAGAAAGAGAGACCAACATACACACACATATATATATGTGGATACATATGATAATGATTTTGTGGCGCCTACGTCAGCTGGATATGCTTGCTGTATCAGATACAAGTGATTTTAAGTGGTAATTGACAGATATTTTGCTATTCAAGTATAATCAATTAAAATTCGTTCTTTATGCATCCATCTAAAGAGTTCTGGTGATCAGCAGGCTGATTGGATAGGAACAGGTAGCAATGATTCAATCAGAAGCACTATAACTGAACACCTCGTCAGCACATATCACAGCACGTCAGCTGAATCATCTTTTAGAGTCGTTTTCAAAGTGAACAGAAATACACTTTAGGCAATTTGTTTTCGATTTTACTATATAATGCAGAAGCTCTCTCTATATTCATCGAAACGTCTGAGCTATGGCTTGAGAGGAAACTAGTCCAGCTTCAGCATTTACCATGGATCTTGTTCTGTTTAGCTCTTTAGCTGTAGTCTTTTCTTAATCCTTTGGTTGGAGGATTTCATCATGAGTTGATATTAGTTAGAGAACCATTGGAAAACCAATATGGAGTACTAAACAGACGTTTTGTCAGCCTAGTTTCAGACTATTCAGCAGTACAACCCTCGAACAGGGTACAAACCGAGGACGTTCTGGTTACAAAACTAGCGAACTATCTCACAGACCATTCAGCCACTGGGACCTGATTCAATGGCTAGTCAGCCCATGAATTCTAACGTCTGCCAATTCACGACATAGAGCGACCACTTCGTTATATCTTCTTCGATGAGTAACATTCAACCTGCTGTACCCTCCTTGTCACAGCTTCCCACTAGAACCCTAGGTTGACGTCCAGAGCATCCGATGAATTTTCAAGTATTCGATTTGCGGGGATTTTGTTTGATTTGTTGAAGAATTTTACTATGAGCTGACATCAGTTCTTATTCCTTTCATTTTTCCATCATCAGTTGTTTCTACGTGCATCCCGTTTACACTCGTCTTTGTAAAACTCAACTTATATGCAATATTGTTTCTATGCTCCTTCTGATCACTAGTGGCACCTCCAAAGTTTAATATCAGCTTGAAAATTATTACCTCATTTCTTCTGCCCCTGTTGCTATATTAAATTAAGTAATAACTATAATTGTGCTAAATTATGTATAAAAATGCAACTGTACAGCTTTATAATTACTTTTCCTTTTACTGATGCTGTTCTGATTGCTTTATTCCTTGTTTTCCTGGTATTAAGGGGAGCAACCCACAAAGCCGCCTCTCTGTGAACTATATTTTAATATGACAACCCCACTTCTCAGGCGTGAGGCTAGCAACCCCACCCTGTAAACAAAGTTGCTATAGAAACTGCAGCATGATGAATCTCCTTGCGGGAATAAGGCAAGGCTGCCTACTATCACCGATGATTTTCCTGGTTGCATTAGATTGGATAATGCGACAGACAGCGGGCGGCGAGGAAACAAGCATAGAATGGAGCCACACGAAACACTTGAAGACCCGAACTTCGTCGAGGATATATGTCTGATTTCCCACAAACTGGAAGATATGCAAGTGTAAAGCAACAAATTGTCAGAAGAAGCATCAAAGATGGGAAGGACTTAAAGTGGACAAGGAGAAAACAGAAGTGATGAAGATTCTTGGCCAACATCAACAGCAGCAACAACAACAGACAGCAATCAGCCAGCATAAATAGGAGAAATCTGTAAGAGGCAGCCTCTTCCACCTACCTACCTTAAATGCATTGTTTCAACAGTAGGCGGATGGAACTGACGAGGATATCAAAGCAAGAATCGGAAAAGCAAGACAAGCTTTCATTACTCCAAATTCTGTATGGAGGTGAACAGCACTCACCATCAAAAATAAGATCCGGATTTTCAGCTCCAATGTGAAGTCAGTGTTACTCACTATAGGGGTGGTTCAGAGACTTGGCGCGTCATAAAGAGCACCTCAAACAAACTACACACCTTCATCAACAGCTGTATTCGCTCAACACTACTCAAGATCAGATGACCAGTCAGAAAAGATCAGGAACATAAATCTCTGGGAACCGATTGTGAAACAAATAGGCAGGAAGAAATGCAGGAGATGGATTGGCTATACGCTGAGGAAACCATCAAGTGATATCACACGCCAGGCCATTGCTCGAGTTGAACCCAAAAGGGAAGCGGCGAGTTGGTCGTCAGTGCAAGGGTGACTTGGTTGAGGTCATGTGAAGAGGAGATGAAAACATGTGGGCAGACCTGGAGCCAAGTGAAAACTCTAGGAGAGAACCGAACGCGCGGCTGAAGCCTTATGTTCCTCTAGGAATTAAAGGAATTAATAATAATAATAATACAGCTTTAGAGGATGGAAACTTTGTTACGCCCACACGATAACTCTAGAAGTCCTGAAGTTCACGGACAATTTATGTTTAATGTCACACGAACTTGAAGATCTGCACGCCGAAAATAAAAAGTGGACAGAAGATCTGTATTCAGTTGAAGATCTGACAATTTAGAGGTGATGAAGACATCTAACCAAAAAAACAACAAGCAACCGTCTCTATCCTCGCGAGGAATTCGAAGGTGGTCAACTCTTTCACTGATTTAGGCAGATCATCTCAGCTAACGGCAGCGCCGATTAAGAAGTGAAATGTAGGATTGGAAAAGTGCGACAGGTCTTCGTTATTCTGAATTCAGTGTAGACATCTGTTTCATTCAGCACTGGTGTCAAGTCAGTCACTGCTCCTCTGCAATAATAATGTGGCGACAGCTGTATGCTAGCCGAAATTGTAGACGACAATTTACGTCAATGTTTAAGTCCCGAATCGGGATGTTGAGAAGAAAACAATAAAAAAGCTTAACATTGAGGAATTCATCAAACAGTCACAGCGGACTTCACGTTTACAAATATGATTGGCAGATATACGGCCTGAATTCCTAAGGAGCATCTACAAAGAGATGACGGAACAAACTTCACCGAGACTCTTCATCAGTACGCACCCACCGAGTTACGATCCCAGGACCTTCTGGTTACAAGACTAGCGAGCTTGCTCGTCGACCGTTTAGCCTCCGGGACCCTTTCCAATGGCCGGTCAACCCATGAATTCTAATTTCTACTAATTCACGAAATAGCGCGACCACTTTGCAGTGTCTTCTTCCATGAGTTACTGCCTCATCTTCAACTTGCTGTAGCCTACTGATCACAGTTTTCTACTAGAATCCCCGGTCACTGCCTGAATTCGGCCAGTGGCTAGTGAGTATCACAACTTTCAAGTATTGGTTTTTGTAGAGATTTCTGTGTGGAAAGTGGTCAAGCTTCGTCGTGAATTGGGATAAGTTAGAATTCAAGGACCATTAGATTTTTTTTTTAGATCTTTAGATTTACAGCCTGATTCTACACTGTATTTTTGGTACAAGTATGGAATTTTCAGCATGGATATCGGTAGCCCAAATTTCGCAGGCCGACCATAGATATCAGGTGTGCGCCGGCGTGGGCTCGAACCCCGGACCATATGGATGGTCGGCGAGAGCCCTAACCACTGTGCCACCGACGCAGTGGTGGCTCAAAGATCCACGAGCTTGCCTTGTAACCAGAAGGTCCTAGGATCCATCGTACGTATTGCTGAAGAGTCCCAAACTAGGACGAAACAGCTGACTGTCCAGTACTCCTAGGTTTAATAGTAGTTCTCTAACTAATGTCAGCTCATGATGAAATTCTCCATGCAAAATAAAAATTGACAATATTACATCCTGTAACACAATATTCTCTGAGCTGAAGAACAAACCATTCCATCATGTGATATTTCTGCTTTTTCTGCTTGAAGAAATCCACGATATCTTGTTGCATGCCAGGGTGTTCAGGAGTACATTTTACGACGCAAGGACACAAGTAAAGAACATTTATCTCATATTTTGTAGGAGGCTGCCACTTACAGTCAGTCCATTCCTCAGGTTAAGTAGGAACTTGCAAATCAGGAGCTTCTAATACATTTTAAATACACACAAGTGTAGATAATACCAGTAGAGATCGTATCTTAATCGATTAGAACAAACTAAACAAAAGAAAATATATGCGATAAAGAGATGAAAGTTTTTTAGATAGCCCAAGTTTTAAGCATGCTTGATGTAAGAGTCACAATGGCATTTCCAACAGGCTAATGTATACTTCCATCAACAGCCGTCTTCGCTATCTTGATAAATTAGGATGTGCAACAAGGAACTCTGGCACTACGGTGAACTAACCAAGAACCTATCGACCAACAAATATGCAAATAAAGAATATGGAGACGAACAGGATACACACTGAGGTACTGTCAGACGGCATCACGAGTCAGGCCCTTGAGTAGAATCCGAGTGAAAGATGATAAGTTGGATATCTGGAGGATGATGAAGCCATATATTCCACTCAAATGACAGGATGAAATCGCCGAAAAAAAGATATCTTTGTCGGGCATCTTGTTCCATCAACTGTTGGTTTTTAAGCATTTTCCTGATGCCATGTTAGACTACAAATTAATATAAGTGAGAGAAATTTAAAAAAACGAAAGTCAATTTTTGTTTTTTCAGGGATTTTTTTTGAATGGTTAAAAATTAATCTGATACTCATCATAGCGACTGGCCCTATTCACGAAGTTAACCTGGGATTCTAGGGGGAAACTGTGACAAGGCCGGTACAGCAGGTTGAAGGTGAGGTAGTAACTCATCGAGGAAGAAGAAATTACGAAGTGGTCACGCTATGTCGTGAATTGACAGAAGTTAGGATTCATGGGCTGACTGACCAAAAGATAGGTAGGTATCCAGTGACTTAACAGTCGACGAGCCAGCTCGCTAGTCTTGTAACCAGAAGGTCCTGAGTTCGTGCCCTGTTGGTGAAGCGTCCGAAACTATGCTGTACACTGTTCAGGTTTTCCGACTGTTCTCTAACTGATATCAGCTCATGATGAAATCCTCCAACCAGTTAAAACCAAAGTTCATAATAAGAAAATAAAACATATTCTGCATCGGTTGGGGATTTGTATTTTCCAGCATTTTACTCCTAATAACAAAGAATTAAATTTATCAAATGTTTGAGGCGTACATCTATGCATGTGTGTGTGTGTTTATGTTTGAGTTGATATAGATGAACACTGGTGACAAATGGAAAGACATTTTGTAATGAAGTAACATTATGTGAATTTATGTACACAAGGGCAAGGGAATCAAACATACTGAATGAATATATATATATATATATATATATATATATATATATATATAAAGAGAGAGAATAGAATGCACATAATGCGAGAGACAAGGCATAGCAGGCATATTAGTTTAAGAGGTGAATTCATGTAGAAATAATATTGATAAAACATGTTTTTTTTAATTTGTGTTTGTTCTATTCGTCTGAAGGATTTGTTCACGTAATACATTAATCTCTTTACGATAATTCTTGATCACATTCATCTAAATTAAGGAAAGAGAGAAAATATTAATCTTTGCAGTGAGTAAATATATATTGTAGCCAATGTGTGAAACAACCTGATTCTGTATTACATAGATTTATTCGACGTAACACACATTTGAGTAAGAGTCATAGTTACTCAAGCGCTCACTAGCGCTTATTGAATTTCTTTACTTTGAAATTCAGAGCACTCGGCAGAAATCACATTGCCTTATAACCGGTCAGTAGATATTGCAGTGCTTTGTTTTGATTAGACAGTCGTATTCTCCTGGTCCGCGCCAGTTTTGGATTACCCATCTCGCGCCAAACAATGGAAAGTACAGCCGCTTGACGCAACGCATAGCATGTCCACACTCGTTGTTAGCCATACAACACTAACAGCTAAAACCGCCCTCGGTCGATCACAGTCATAGTTCAGTAACTCCACAGCAATGCGCATGGAAGCAAACAAAACAGCAAAGAAACCACTATTCAACTGGACCGACACATATCTGATCTCGGCCTGTCTGACTCGGCACCCATAGCCAGTCCTTCTCTCGAAGTTACGGATCCGATATGCCAACTTAACTTACCTAAAACAATGCTAACAACTGGATGATAACACAAGCATAATTTTTTTTTAAACGACTTCCTGAATCGCCTTTTATGCTTCTGCTGCTTGCTGTTTTTTCTTTTACTACAATTCTCCATACATCCGGGATGGGAGTTGCGTTCCTACAACTGCATGTGTTTAGTGTAGATTTGAAGAAGAAAGATTGAGCGATTAACCTGTCTCTCCACACAACTGTATTAATGTTTCTTAGGCCAAAAATACCAACTGGGTCATCAAGAAAATGAAAGGCGATTCAACACACATTTCAGCCGCATTTCCGAATATTACACGGCATAGTCATCAAAAGGGACAATTTGAGAAAATTACCTAGTGGACTCAGTCAAAGCAATTCCACTATAGTCATTCTATGTTAGTTTGTTTATTAGATATATCACACAGTAAAGAAATAGTATTTTCACTATAACTGGATGACCGGGTTTGGAACACTATTTATTACTATTCAGAATCATTTCATCAATTATAATCACAAGACTTCGAAATTTTCGTTTTATAGTTTTCTTTATTCCTTTCTGTTCGTCGTAGAGGTTGTAGAATTTTTCAGATTTATGAGTGGACAGGTATGTGGGATCATTCCTATTACACGTATTTGCAGTTGATCCGATAAATAAGGCTTGCGTTATCAACCTCTCCATCCATTCATCCTGTTACATTAGATTTTAAAACTGTCATCTTATCCCATCATCATTTTGTATAGCTGGACGTAATTGCATGTAGTGCTGCTATAACTGAACTATTCTCCAGATTTCTTATCTTATTCAAGTCAATCAACCTAGATCTTGCTAGGTGTTTATGCTAAGCTAGTCTGATTAACCCTGTTCTACTATTTTGACCTATTCTCGCAGGCTATTAGATAAACTTAATTGTTTCGTTTTAAAGGCTCCAGTGACAAGATCCTTTAACCAATAAAGTTTATTTCTAACTGAGTTTGTGATTGGTTTGAATGCCGGCAGCTTTAATGCTTGCATTGTTAAGAATTCCGCGTAAGATTTCTGAGGTTCCTTATTTGTACGGGGGTACTACTATTACTACTGACGAAATCTCAGCACGAATACAGGGGGCTCGTTTCGCATTTGCCAGTTTACGCCAACTCTGGCGTAGACGAGATGTTCGACTATCGACCAAAGGGCGGGTGTACTGCTCATCAGTCCGCACCGTCCTCCTTTATGGTTGTGAGACCTGGCCACTGAGAGTGGAAGACATGAAAAGACTAGCTGTCTTTGATCATAGGTGCCTGCGCTCTATTTCCCGTGTGAAGTGGCATAATAAGGTGAGCAACATTGAAGTTAGGCGTCGAGTTCTAGGTAAACAGGGGAAATCAATCGACGAAGTCGTGAAGCTACAAAGACTGAGTTGGTTAGGACATGTGTTACGTATGCCAAGCCATCGCCTCCCTCGACGAGCTATGTTAGCGGATATAGGGTCAGGCTGGAAAGAAGCTAGCGGCGGTCAAACAAAAACTTGGCCTCACCAGTCAATGAAATCCACAACAGTTGGTCTAAGCCACGTAGGAAGGTGTAGACTTCCAGGCTGGGGTCCTCGGGACGGTAAAAATCTATGGTTGGAAACAATTGGTGACATGGCTCAAAATCGTTCTCAGTCATGGTGCAGATGCATCCACTCCTTGTGACTTCCAATGAAACTGTTTTGTTTTTCTTTATTACTCCTTTGTCTCACACCTCTGCTCACTGTTTCTATTATGCTTTTCTTGTACTTTCTTCTCTTGCTTCGCGTGCTACACGGAGTGTGGCGACTTGAACTTCCGCACATTTGTGCAAAGTTCTATGTCGAAAACAGACAGACAGACAGACTACTGAAGCAATAGGGAATATAAATCATCAGTGGTGCAACTACAGTGCCCAATTTCCACGCATATAGTAACATAAATATCCTTCAAGATTACTTACAAGGAGAGACAAAGTCGTATAAGGGGTGCTACGTTTCGGCATTTGTGAAGACTCGTCAGTATAGCCCAAAACTCTGGGTACAGAATAAATATTTTGTTCACTCTCTTATTCTGTCAGGGTTTTATTGTTTTCTCTAATTGTTTACTTTTATTTCTAGTGATTAGTTCATTATTATCACTCTCACAGATTCCTTTTCATCATTTTCTCATCCTCTTAACACTTGTCAAGTGGACAATCAATTACTTTCTTATCCAATCGCCATTTTATTCTTATCAAATTTCAAATCCTTTGCTCCATCGCCTCATTTACCATCATGTACTCCTGAGTACTTCTTTCTGTCAGTTATGTCAAACCCCACCCCTTGTCACCCAATAATAGACTAGTATACGTTTTCGTCAAATATCAGTACTGTTTTACACAGCTTCTGAAGACGATTTATTCAATAAAGAAAGTTTTCTTTGCTGAAATGTCTTTTAATTTTCAATACTTTCACCTTATCCCACCCTGGTTTCTGATCACACGTGAGTGAATGCATTAAGAGGTGAGTTATTTTCGATTTAATCTTGACTACTTTACCAGATGTTAACAACGTTTGTGCGTGTGACTACTAACCACACTGCTGCTTCTACGTCTAGCTAAATTTAAATGTTCTGACGACCTAACTGATCCCAACCTATTTTTAGTTAGCCATAACGTCATTACATTAATATTATTATTTCCTTTAATTCCTAGAGGAACATAGGGCTTCAGCCACACGTCTCCATTGCGTTCGATTCTTTGCTAAAGTTTTCATCTGGCTCCACATCTGCCCACATGCTTTCATCTCCTCTTCGCATGACCTCTTCCAAGTCACCCTTGCACTGACGACCAACTCGCCGCTTCCCTTTTGGGTTCAACTCGAGCAATGGCCTGGCGTGTGATGTCACTTGATGGTTTCCTCAGAGTACGGCCAATCCATTTCCATTTCTTCCTGCATATTAATCGCACAATCAGTTCCCTATTGCTGATCTTTTCTGGCTGGTCATCTGATCTTGAGTATTGAGCGGAGACAGCTGTTGATGAAGGTCTGTAGTTTGTTTGAGATGCTCCTTATGACGCGCCAAGACTCTGATCCGCATATTAAGTAGCACTGACTTGACATTGGAGTTGAACATCCGGATCTTATTTCCATTTCCATGCTGAGTGCTTATGATCTCCACAGAAACTTGAGAAAAATGAAAGCTTGTCTTACTTTTCCGATTCTTGCTTTGATATCCTCGTCAGTTCCGCATGTAGTTGAAACGATGCTTCCCAGTTCGGTACCTGAGGGAGGTTGTTTCTTTCAGGTTCCTCTCATTTATTCTGGCTGATTGTCGTCTATTGTTATTGTTGCGGTTTGTGTTGATCAGGAATCTTCATCACCTCTGTTTTCGCTATGTTCACTTGAAGTCCCATCATCTGTAAATGCTTCTTCTGTCAACTTGTTGCTTTTCACTTGCATATCTTCCAGTTTGTGGGAAATCAGACATATATCATCGGCGATGTCCAGATCCTCCAAATTCTTCGTGAGGGTCCATTTTATGCCTGTTTCCTCGCTGCTCGCTGCTGTTTGTCGCATTATCCAATCTAATGCAATCAGGAAAATCATTGGTGATATTAGGCAGCCAACTTGTCTTATTCCCGTCCCCACTTCGAAGGATTCCGTAAGATTCATGTTTTGGATTATTTGGCATGCAGCGTTGTCGTACAACTGTTGGATGTGATGTATAATTGTTGCCGAATCACCTCTCGATCAACGCTGTCGAAGGCCTTTTCAAAGTCGATAAAGTTGATATAGACAGCTGACTGCTATTCCCAGCGTTGTTCAGTGATGATCCGTAGTGTGACGATTTGATCAATACATGACTTGTTTCTTCTGAATCCAGCTTGTTCCGGTCGAAGTTATTCATCCAGCGTGGCTTGTTTGACTCTTTCCAGGATGAAACGTCATTACATGGTATTAAGTAAATTATATTTGTCCTAATTACGTATTTCTGATCGGTAATTAGGTACAGTTCATCTTTGAGTGTGACGTGATTGGTTCAAATGACAATCTAATCCAAGCCTGATTAAAAATCCACAGTACAATCTCTGGTTTATCTTCCTTCATATGAGCAGTACTACTGATGTTTTAAACTGCCTGTAGTGATAATGATTCTTATTTACCCCTCTCTGAGTTCTAATTTGAACATCTAGCTCCAAGCTTTGATATTTCATCATTAGCCGTAGTCATGTTAGTTTTTTTTTTAATGGATTGGGTTCAGCTAGACTCAGTGTCAATCTTCAGCCTCTTCGCTGCTAACTACAGGTTAATAAATCAGTCGGTGGCAGGAGAATTCGTAAAGTCGGGGGAATGGAACCACAACTGGTCGGTAAGCATTCTACCATTGACCCTTTGATACACTCGATGATTATCACCAGAAAAGAAATAAGCCGGTAAATATATGACTTTAATATCTAAAACTTTTTAAATTCCCATAACCAGAATTCACCGACTAATAATCCATTTTTTTACCGAGTCCATTTCTGTAAGTGGTTTTTGTCAATTATTTGAATCTATGAAATGAAACCCCTCAAATTCTCTGGTATTTTATCCATGAAATGGCTATGTTCTTTTATGCAATCTTGACTACTTTTTTTTCCAAAGCATATGGTCTATTTGTGTGAAAGATTAGTTTATGCCGACAAATGACGAATATTTTTTTAATCAGAAAAAGAGACAAAAGAAATACTAGTAAAAAGGCCTTACTTACCAGAATGGATTCCCATCTGTCGGCGAATTGATCCAATGCCTCAGATAAGCGATTCGCATCACTTCTGTATATGGAAAAAATTAAAATTAAACAAGAATAAAATCAAACATTAAATTTATTACTTCATTTTATTGTGGAACACAGGACTTTAGGCTTTAAATCTTGGAGTTTTAACAGTACTGGTGTTGTGTTTATGGGGTGGAGTTGTTATCCTTACATTAAAATTTTATCCTCTTCGGTGATTACTACTGGCTAGGCGAGGAATCCTGTTCGTGAGTCGGCCGGTATTCGAATCAGAATCAAGGGAGTAGTTGGTGAGCAATCCACCACTAAAATAGGTGGAAATGAACAGATTACTCTATTAACGGATATATATATATAATTGCGATTCACTGATATTAATTGAAACGTGAGAGATTCAATAGTGGTTACCTCCTTCACTTATATTTAAGAAGCAACGTTTCATTTACAGGCTATAGGACAGATGAAATTGTCAAAGTCAGCTAGAGCCTTCATTAACCTGAAACCGGTTGGGAAGAGTTCTGCACTCCTCAGCGTAAACAACGTGAATACGCGTCACATACGTGCACAGTATGTCACGAAAAGGATTTCCAACAGGACACTGCAGACTTTCATCAACAGCTGCCACTCTCGCTGATTCCAACTGAAGGTACTAGAATCGGCAGTTAGTCGTGGTATTCCGACTGACTATCGAATTCAACACCCATCATCTCAGCCTCCAACACATCGTCCACCAGTCCATACAGGACTACTAGATTCCCTTCTTTTTTTCTTCCAATTAGTGTTTCTGTGAATGTTTGCAATTATAAATTAAATTGTTTAACCTATGAATAGCCGCATATAGAATCACCGCGTAACTTGTCACTAAGAAATTGGTGAAAAACCAGCAAAAAATTATGTTCATTTGGTGTTGTTAACTTTTAGTAGAATCCGCAATATTCCCTAATCATCTGAATACACTTGCATTCACAGTAGGTGTTGACGGCTGACTCGCTGAGATTGGAGCCATGCAGCCATCATTTCAAACGCCAAAGAAATGTCAAGTAGGTCATGAAAGCCACTATTTATGTGTCAAGTATCAGTAGTAATTTGTTTACTTAAAATAATAATTTTCTTTTTCTATTGATTGACAAATCACAGACGGAGAATTTCAGTCCCGTATCATATCAGTCAATAGAAAATATAAAAAATGTCGCTAATATTTGCTACGATCTAAGATCTTCAGTGTGAAACAAGTTAGCGTATTTACTCCATGACCATGGTTGGCACTCACATGTCAGTAAGGTGTATCTGCAACCTTGAAGGAACTCATGTATAATGATAATAATATGAATTTGCTTTATTCCAGAAACAGTACTAGTGGTACAGTGTGCAATTTTCAGCACTTATCTACAATATTGCATCTAAATTTATCAAACATTTAAAATTAGTACTTCAAAAAATAAATATAAAAAACAACAACAACAAAAACAGCAAAGAAAAACACAAAATAGCAAAAAAAATGCGAAAAAATACCAAGAAGTAGAATGGAAAATAAACAACATAAAATAATATCTCAGTTTTTGGGTAGTGAAAGCTATGTTTATGCTTGGTGAACTGTAACAGCTATAATCACACAAGAAGTTATGGAATGATATTAAAAATGTTTATCGCCAAGATGATCAGTTAATTTGATTGAACAACACTAAAGAATCATAAAATAAAACATTTCAGGGTTTCTAACGTCAGCTCCAATGCGGTGTTTGTAGTGGTAGTGTGAGTCATCCTGCATAATACAGGGGTTAGGACTCTCGCCGACCATGCACATGGTCCGGGGCTCGAGCCCGCACCGACGCACACCTGATATCTATGGTCGGCCCGCAAAATTTGGGCTACCGATATCCATGCTGAAAATTCCATACTTGTACCGAAAATACAGTGTGGAATCAAGCTGTAAATCAAAAATAAAAAAAATTTTTAAGATGATGATAATGGCGTTCACAACCAAGATTGTCAGTTAATATTGCCAAACAGAAAACAATCACAAAACTAATATTACACGATGGTTAGTGACAGGAAAATTTTGTGACATTCATAGTGATAATATAGTCGGAACCAGTAGATACACAAAAGAAGCAATAGAATAAAGAATAAAAAAAGTAAGCCAATGTTAATAATTTAGGTAGGTAAGTATGTTTAAGAAGGTGTTCACTATAGAATACAAATAAGAGAGAAATAAAAGAGCAAAAAATATGTTATTAACAACAAAGCAAGTCATAGACAATTTAAGCAAGTTATGCGCCTCCTTCTGAGATTTGAACACGCATCACCCAATGTTGCAGTCAGTGAGTCAGAGACGTTACCACTGAACAATTTGGGCTAGTGGATGACCTCAAGTAGGACTGCATTGGATACTAGTTAGTAACTAGTTTATTGTGTTAATTCCTTTTTTTGGTGCAAACGAAATCCCGTTAGTCAAGTTTGTAAGGTTGGACATCGCCCTTGGTGACTGGTGAGTGCCAACCGGCACGAAATCTAGATCAGCAGGCTGGGCTTCCTGTCTATTACCTCCTACTAGGGTGGTGTGATTACATGAATTTCAGTGTATTCATTGAGCAAACGAATAATATTTCTAGGGGGAATAAGTTAAACTTTGAGTATCTCAAGCTACTAGTGGCGTGCATCTGTGCCAATGATCTTGAATGGATCAATGAGTTTTATTTATGTGAGTCTAAGTTTTTATTCCGTCTGATTCGAGTAAAATGCCTATTCTAAAGCTGTTACGTATGAAATTTGGTGAAGACCAAGTTCACTAGTATTGCTTAGATGTGAGGTTGATTAGAAAAGTAAGGATTTGTTCGTGTGGAGGTGTCATGAGGCTAAAAGCTTCATCATTGTGGGATTTTTCCAAGATGATATGGTGTGAAGGAAGGTAAGCTGATGATTACTTTGTTTCATAGGGAACACTTTGTTTGCTAGTTCGTATATGTCATCAACCCGAATTCCGTATATTTGTAATTACTGGGTATTGAAACAGACTGTGAGAGCTTGAGCTGCTGATGGAGAAAATAGTCTCGTTTCAACAGTTCATTGGCATCAGCTCTGTGGGGATAAAGCGTCCTGGAAAATGGAGAGACATACTTCTTTATTGAGAGAAGAAGGTGTCATTGTACATGTAGATGAAACAGTCATTTTTTCCTTCACGTTCCCCAGTGGAACATGGGGCCTCAAGCTGGTGGCTTGAAGTTTCTTTAGCAGTGTTGTTTTACAGGATGAGGTTGCTGGCCTCATGCCCAAACTTTCCTCTTTACCAACATTATTTCTGGCTTAGCGAGGTAAAGGTGTGAGTCGGCCAAAGATCGAACCCCAGACCATTTGCATGATCGGCGAGCGTCCTAACCGCTGCGCCACCGACGCACAGTCTTACCAAACAGTAATTACAACCATTGTCATCAACGACGAAATCATGTTTAGGTGACTGGAGTATACGATACCTCTTTACGGAAAGGATTTGTAGACAGAATAACAACAGGAATGTCAGCTACTTAAATGCCAATCATCATTTGATTGGTTTGAACAAGGATCTACAACACACAGAGAGATGAGTGGAGAGAGGTTATAGCTTCTTGTCATCTGTAGGATATGCTCACCACAGAGTCAATCATTTTAATGATTTTGTGGACCCACACCAATTCCATTGAAGGATTTTAGGGAAGGTTGAAAAATAGGATTGGAGACATTATTTGATCGTAATATAATGCTTTTTTTTCAAGTTAGTAGGATGAAAAAAAGTATAAGATATGGTGTAAATTCTCTACTGATACACCTATGGAAAACTGGGAGTCATTTTTATCAAAGTCAGAGAAAAGCATATTCTGTAACAATTTTATGCAGTTTTTATGAATTTTTTCACAAACATATGTATTTTCTCAGTACACAATTGGTGGATGTTGGCTAGCAGTGGAATCCAGGATGCGCATTTCGTCCTATTTGGGACTCGTCAGCTGGAGGTACCTGCATTTCTCAGTGAGTGATGATGTTCCCACTGAGGCTCGAACCCAGTGCCCATAGTTTCAAACGCCAAAGCGTTATCCACTAGACCACTTGGGCCACAAGAGCCAACCCTTGTGCAACGGGTCATATTAATTATTGAACTGAATTTTTGACTTTCCCGTCGATTGATTGGACCGAAGCGCTTGGTCTTAGGCTGATATGTCGGCTCCTTGTGCAGATGCCTCGACGATGTCTGGGAATTTAATTAGTATACAAGTGTTGCATGGTGGATAATGCTTTGGCGTTTGAACTTATGGGCATTGGGTTCGAACCTCAGTGGGAACGCCATCACTCACTGAGAAATGCAGGTACATCCAGCTGACGAGTCCCAAATAGGACGAAATGCGCATCCTGGATTCCTCTGCTAGCCACCATCCACCAATTGTATACTAATTAAATTCCCAGACATCGTCGAGGCATCTGCACAAGGAGCCGACATATCAGCCTAAGACCAAGCGCTTCGGTCCAATCAATCGACGGGAAAGTCAAAAATTCAGTTCAATAATTAATATGACCCGTTGCACAAGGGTTGGCTCTCGTGGCCCAAGTGGTCTAGTGGATAACGCTTTGGCGTTTGAAACTATGGGCACTAGGTTCGAGCCTCAGTGGGAATTCAATAATATGTGTTTTTCACCCAAAATAGCCTCTTTCATGTGATTGGTTCGTTAAGAGTCATTCGCTGACTGACGGTTACTTGTGCTTGAAGCTTAACTTTGGCTTCTATGGCTCAGAAGATTTGGATCAGTTAGTAAATTATTGAACTAGTAAACTTAGTGAGGTAAGATAAAATAGCTTGAAACGATAGTCAGCATGGGACTCTGTCAACTAACCAAATAAGAACCTATTGCCGAACGGCGTGATTTCGAGCCCAAGTGACTGCACAATGATGGGTTGTAGGCTATAACAAAACAGCTATCCGGTACTCCTAGGTTTTTCCAATGGATTTCGAACTTATATCAGCTGATGATGATATCTTGTAAGTGAGAAAGCACTGGAATAACCATGTGCTTCTAAAGCCGTATGTTCCACAATTCAGCCTAAGGAGACATGGTCATTGGAACTAGAAGGGATGAAAAGGCTGGATATCTTTGATTATAGGTTTCTGAGTTTTATCTCCCATGTTACGCTGCATATTAGAGTGAGTAATAGTGAGGTTAAATGTCCATTGCTTAGTAAGGAGAGAAAATCATTCCAAGGGGTTTTAAAGTTACACTGACTGAGATGGTTACCACATGTGTTACGCATGTGTATCCCTAGTTCTCGCCCTCCTCGATGGGAGATGTCAGCTGAAACAGGATCAAGTTCGCAAAGATGTGTTGGTGGTCAAACTGAAACACGCCTTCTTCAGTCAGTTGAATCCATAGCAGTTAGTTTACGCCAGCCAGCCATGAACGGAGGTATAGACTTCCTGATTGGTTGGGGTCCTAAGGGTGGTGAAAACCATATGAAGGTTGGAGATATTTGGTGATATGGCTAAAAATCATTCTCAGTGGCTAGCGCAGATGAATCTTGTTATGTACTCGTCGCTAAATTATTGTTATGGACTGGTCGAGAAACTAATAGTCCTGACGCAGGAAGGCGGAAATCAGAAGACCACTAGGTTTGCGATGATACTTCTATTGTCCAAACACAAGGAGACGAAAATAAATGGTCTCACACCAAAGTGGTAAGTAAGTAAAGTAGTTCACACAAATTGTGTGAGCGAAATATATATGACAAGGGTGTGAACAATCATTAGACAGTCTTAACATGAATGGCTAATTATAATGAAGTATCGATCCACTTATACATGTCGAAATATAACAGACATGTCAACAACCACCATGTATGGATATATGTCACCAAGCAACGGACTATCAACAAACATTCATATTATATATAATATAATATAAGGAGAATACACATTATTAAAGGAGACAAGTTCATACAAGTGAAAATGGTCACAGACTAAGAGAGCAAACAGAAAGAGAGACCAACATACACACACACACAAATATATATATATGTGGATACATATCACATCTCCTCTTTGTCATTTGCCGTATCCAATGAGACTCTATTTTTCCTCCATGTTACTATTGCGGTTATTATTTCTCTTCTGAAATTCTCTTTACTTTCTTCTTTTACTTACTGTAGCACACCGAGGAAGTGTGGTAACTCAAAATGCTACACATCTGTTGAAAGTACTATGTTCAAATTAATCCATGCGTCAGGATCTGTTGTATAGGTTTCGGTTTATTTTAAATATCACCGAGTTGCTGTACACGTATAACTACATTGGGCTTCATATTTTACAATAATATGCATGAATTTAAAAAACACTTAGTTCCCTTTATGAATTTATACAAAGCAATGTAAAAGATGACGTAATTTGTCTGAATCGTGTAATGTGTAATGTGCGCAACACACGTTGTTCGAAATATATTCCTCAAATATTCATGAACTCAGACAGAGAGAGAGAGAGAGAGTCATCAAAAAAGTTAACAAATCACAGTATAGTTACTTTTTAAGTAATCACTTAATGTTTTCAATTGACTTATTCAGAATAAAAAGTTAAAAAAGAAGAATTTCTTTAAGATCTGATCAAACTACATCGATGTAATCAAACCGATAACAGAAGGGCTTTTTTGATTTAACACTAGTAACTGGTGTAATGTGTCTATTCCTCTCTTTAGTGCGGACTGAATTCTATCAGTCAGGTTTGTAATATGCCAACCATTGGTTGGAGAACCACTGGAAAACCTGGGAGTACTGGGCAGATGTTTCCTCCATCCTAGTTCAGGACTCTTCAGCAGTACACACTCATCGTGGTTCGAACCCAGAATTTTCTGGTTACAAGGCGAGTTCTTAGACCATTAGGCCACTGGGACTCGATCCAATGGACAGTCCATGAATTCTAACTTCTATCAATTCGCAATTCGCTGCAACCGCTAACCAATGTCTTCGGCAAGTATTTGACCTCACACCTGATCTGTCGCACTCTACTGGTCACAACTTCTCACTAGAACCTCAGGTAACTACTTACCTGAATAGGGCAAGTCGCTAGTGACCATCTCATAGATATTTAAGTATTGGTTTGTAGGGATTTGATTGGTTGCAGGATTTCATCATGAGCTGACATAGGTGTCCTGTACTCACAGGTCTTCTCTTTGGTGCAGACTGAATTCTATCAGTGATGTTTGTAATGTAGCAACCATTCTAGGTACCTCACCATCACGGTGTACATAGATTTGATGATATGAGATGGTTGGAGGCAATCGGAAGGAAGCCTTGTCTTACCTAGGTTAAGTGCTAGCTGGCACTCAGAAGCCAGCAAGGCATATCTGCAACCTTGAAGGGATATGAAAGGAACATACAACAGAAATGACTCAATACAAATACCAGAGATATGTACGGAAGATATTATTAGCACCAGTCGAATCAGAGGAGGATTATAAATAAGGTTAAAATGTATTTCAATTCAATTCACATTATAACATTCTAACAAGTTATTTATTTGTTTTACTATGGAAGCATCTTATTTCCCATCTTATTATATCTTGTTGATAACACCAACCTTATTTCCGAATGCACTTTATCTTAAATTGAATTTATTCAAATGTCAAATCGCATCAGTTTTTATTCATGTATACAAATGAAGCAAGAAAGTTGTGTGAGTGACTTAATATGATTATAAATGGTAATGATAAATTATGCTCGAAGCGTGTGGTCATCGGTAACACATTTTGTGATTTTATCAAAATAAAATTACATCCATCATGAAATTATACTCTACCACCAGAGTGCCTAAGTTTTATACTTATATCAGTATGGAGGATTTTGTCATGAGCTAACATTAGTTAGAAAACCACTGGAAAGCCCGAGAGTAATGGACAGCTGTTTCGTCCTAGTTTAGGACTCTACATCAGTACGCACCTACCATAGGAGGTTCAAACCCAGGACCTCCTGGTTTCAAGGTTAGCGAGCTCGTATACCATTGAGCCACTGGGACCCAATCCAATGGTCCTGGAATTCTAACTTCTGCCAGTTAACGACATAGCGCAACCACTTCGCAATGTCTTCTTCGATGAGTTACTGCCTCGTCTTCGACCTGCTGTACCCTACTGGTCACGGCTTCCCACAAAATCCCTACAAAACCAATACTTGAAAATTATGTCAGTATCTCAATTGCTTATTAGATGATTCAAAAGACATAATCAAACTTACATGTCAATAGAATTCTTTGAAGTCATCTCTGTTGGATTAGAAGAGTAGGTTGACACCAATTGATTCGTTGAGTTATCATCCTTATCATGAAGTATTTCTGTTATAGAATTTTGTGGAGTCACAATTTGTGGTATTTCAAATTTCACTGCAGCATTATCGTCTAAAATTAAACTAGAATTTTATTTAAATATATTTAATTACCAGTTGCATTTGATGTTCTATTGACCGAGCCATGCGAAGTGGTCGACTTCTTCCCGTGCATATAATAGGCGTATTGACGTTCACGGGTTTCATACAATCGGCGGGTTGCATGTTTTCGTATGACAACCTGTTACAGTGGAAAAAATAGATTATAAAATGCATTATAACCGGGATTGGGATGGGGTTGATAACATAGTATGGTAAAGAGTTTAGAGGTACACTTCCAGTAAAATTGATTGTTTTGGTGTCTGTCGAGATGTCGACTGTCAGTACGGATGCTCCTATGATCTTTGAGGATTAATGGTGGCGACTAGAAAAGGATGCGCACTTCGTTTTAATTGGGATTTGTCTCCTGAATATACCAGCGAATGATGGGACCAGGTATAATCAATCCATAGGAAGTGAAGATTGTGTTTGAAATGTGCGAATATTATTACTCACTGAAAATTCAGATACACGCAGTTGACGAGTCTTCACTAGCTCTAAATAAGCATTATGAATTCTGATGCTAGTTAATGCGCACCAAAAGGAGCATTTATAAACCTAGCGAAGTTAAATTATACGACTTCAAATGAACGAGTTCGCCAATGATTGTGAATGAAAAAATCACAGTAAATCAGTAAAACAAGAGTCCAGAAAAATATAGAAATACTGAAAAGGTTGCCTTTCGTTAAAATTTTGAGAGTAAACTCGCACTCTTTATTAATGTGACACTGTGTCAACTGCCACATGTTTTACCTTTCCTGCTTTTCTGATCTTAGGCCGGCTAGTAAACGCGTGAAACTGCAAACTTCGAGAAGATCAGATGGTAGGGAGAAAGGATAGACAGCAAAGATTTTAAGCGAGTAACAAATCGAGAATCAATTGGCCAACAAATCGACAGGACACATTAGAGATGAATTGGTCATACGTTGACGGGACACACGAGACTAGGAATCGAGTGAAACCTGGGTAAGAAACAACGATCTAGGTTTGAGGTATAATGCTATACTATTAAACAAGGACTTAGAATGTTATTACCTGTTTGAAGAATACTCTACGAATGTGGTATTTCAATTAGTATTTCTTAGTGTGCAAAAAGTGACTTATACAAGATTCTGGATACACTTTACCTACATCCCGGAACTTAAGTCTAAAGCTTAATTTAATAATGCCATAAATATCTGTACTTGTGGATACTGATGTATGAATTCCTTGTAGATTGATTTAATTGGAGCAATTTGCCAGTGATGATGTTTCATACTGACACTGTCAACATCCCTCCCTGCCTATCACGAATACAGGTACATCCAGATAATGAGCTTCAAGTTGCTTGAAGCACACCATATTTCATCAGATAAGGAGGGCTTTATGTTAACAGAGATTCGAACCCATGCCAATCATTACTTCAGTCATAGAAAGATAGTTCTAGGACTCTCTGGTCTGTTAGTATTGATTCCACATACTACTGAAATCAAACAGATTTGGAACCTACAAACACTTTATATCTTTTTGATAGATTTCGTTTTTTAAGAAAAGGGGGAATACGCCGGACTAATAAGAGGATTCTTGTAAATCTGGATTTCACGGGCAACTTATATCTGATGCCCCAACAAGTCGAAAATGTACAAGCAGAAAGCGACTAACTAGCTGAAGAAGTGACGAAAATACGACTTCAAATGAACACAGAGAAGATAAAAATGATTATGAAATTACAGCAACTTACACCAATCACTATTAACATAATGCATTTGGAAGAGGTAATTTCTTTCACTTATCTAGACAGCTTCTTTTCAACTACAGGTTATACGGCAGTGACGATGTCAAAGGCAGGATCGAGAATTGGCAGTACAGACCCTCTTCACTCTGAAATCAGTTTGGAAACCCTCTGCATTCCTCAGCATGTAGAACAAAATCTGGAGTTTTCAACACAAATGTTAAGTTTGCTCTTCTGTGTAGATCAGAAGCTTGGCAAGCGCGTCAAGAAAAGCATCACCAACAGCCTGTTGTATACTTTTATCAACAGGTGGTCCTATACTGAGTATCAAATGACCAGAAAGAATTATCACCATGAAACTCTGGAAACGAACGAATCAAGAATCTACTGCTCAGCCAGTATTTTAAAGAAAACGTAGATAGATGAAACACGTCTAATTACATCGCGCGTAATGCAAACCATCGCTCAATTGGAATCCATATGTTAAATGACGAGTTAAGCTTGTGTCCGAGGGTAAGATGAAACAGGTAGTGTTAGGAGGAAATGAGAGACTATGGATAATCTTGCAAGCAGCTAAAGAGGATGTCACAAGATAAGATGAAGATGGAGATGTGCTGTTGAAGCTCCAAGGGAGCAATAAAAATAAGTTACACAAACTATCTTGTAGGATTTATATCCTGTAATACAAGAAAATTTCTAATTTATTATTATTGTCTTTAATTCCTCGAGGAAAATAGGGCTTTAACCACACGTCTCCACTGCGTTCCATTCTTTGCTAAAGTTGTCACCTGGCTCCAAGTCTGCCCACATGCTTTCATCTCCTCTTCACATGACCTCCTCCAAGTCAACCTCGCACTAACGACCAACTAGCCGCTTTCTATTTCGAATCCACTCGAGTGATGGCTTGTATAATGATGTCACTTGATGGTTTCCTCAGAGTATGACCAATCCACCTCCCTTTCTTCCTACAGAGTTGTTGCACAATCGGTTCCTGGTTGGTTCGCCCATTGCCAGAGATCTCTGTTGCTGATCTTTTCTTGAGTAGTATTGAGCGAAGACAGCTGTTCATTAATGAAGGTTTGTAGTTTTTTTGAGGTGCTTTTCATGACGCGCCAAGTCCCTGATCCGTATAGCAAGTAGCACTGACTTCGCATTGGAATTTAAAATCCGGATCTTATTTTTGATGCTGAGTATTTCTGTTAACCTCCACACTGACTTAAGAGTAATGAAAGCTTGTCTTGCTTTCCCGATCGATCCTTGCTTTGATATCCTCGTCAGTTTCGTCCGCCTGTAGTTGAAACGATACTTTCCAGGTAGTTAAAGGAGATGGTTTCATTCAGATTCCTTCCATTTATGCTGACTGGTCGTTGTCTATTGTTGTTGCTGTTGGTGGTGTTCGCCAGGAATCTTCATCACTTCTGTTTTATCTATGTTCACCTAAAGTCTTTCCTATCTTTGATGCTTCATCTGTCAACTTGTTGTTTTTCACTTGCATATCTTCCAGTTTGTCGGAAATCAGACATATATCATCGGCGAAGTTCAGATCCCCCAAGTTCTTGTTGTTTGAGTCCATTGTATGCCTGTTTCCCCATTGCCCAATATACTGCAATCAGGAAAATTATTGGAGATAGTAGATTGGCCTTGTCTAACTCCTATCCTCACTTCGAAGGATTTCGTAAGCTTCCTGTTGTGGATTATTTGGCATGCAGCATTGTCGTACAACTTTAGATGATTTGTATAATTGTCGTCGACACCCCTTAATAGTAACGAAGTAGTTGCCAAATCACCTCTGGATCGACGCTGTCAAAGGCTTTTTCAAAGTTCGCCAAAGTTGAGGTAGAGATGTGACTGTCATTTGAAGCTCTGTGTCACCGATGCTGTTGCGAGGTCTTCTTTGCAAAAACGTTAATTACAATTTAGTAATTACTTACTACTCTACTAATGACGTAAGCTAAATTAATTCACTTCAAACATAATCTTAAATCTTAGATATCCATCTACTGTTTATTTAGATGATAAATGACACTAATTCACTGCGAAAACGAAGACATAAATTATCAGTACGACTTAAAAAAATTCCTCACTAACAAACCACTTGTATGATTGACAACAACATGATTTTATTATGAATTACGCAATATATTCGTTTCTCTTAATTTTTATATTTGTGTGATTTACAACACGACGAAGTAACTGAAACACAATGATGACCATATTACCTGTATAAACAAAGATGGATAGAAAGATAGGTAGGCAGATAGGTAGCTATGCTTATCTTGTAATTGGAGTTTGTATGTTTCATTTACCACAGTCGGGTTATTTATTAAGAATGAACGCTACAAAACTTAATGTAAGGTAGTACATCTTATTTCTTCGCCTTCTATATACTCCTTTCCCAATAGTTAACTCTTAATCATATCTTATAATAATGGGTTATGCGTGAGAAAACGTTAAACCAAATAGTTGCTTATATAATTCTTTAATTTTTTTGCCATTAGCATTTCTCCGTATGGAAAATGAAACAAGCAACATTCATTTGAAAGAAAGAGTTTAGATAAATCTTGAAGTACTGAAAAGAATACCTTGATTTCAGGTTGTTTCAAGAGAAATTCCATATTAGTTTGTTTATTAGATGTATCACACAGTGAGTGAAACAGTATTATTTACTGGATGACCAGGTTTCAAACATAATTCATTGCAGTTCATAATCATCTCATCAATTGTAATCACACAACTTCGAAAATTGAGTGCGATAGCTTTTTTTGTCTTCTCCTATTTGTCGTCGTTGTGGTAGTAGAATGTTCCAGATATCTGCCTGGACAGGTGTGGCACCATTTCTATTACATGTATTTGCAGTTGATTCGATAAACAAAGCTTCTGTTATCAATCACTTCCCCAATTCACCCTGTGACATTAGATTTTAAAACTGTCATCTTATCCCATCCCATCCTATTGTATGTTTGTGTGTGATTGCATATAAAGCTGTGGCTGAACTATTCTCTAGATTTTTTAAAATCTTATTCGGGTCAACCAATCTAGATTTTGCAGCTGTCTTTTTATGTTCAGCTAGTCTAACTGCTCCTGTTCTACTAGTTTAACCTATGTATTTGACCTGACAATCATCACAGACAGGGTATTAGATAAACTAAATTTTTTTGTTTCAAAGGCTCCACAGGATTGATCCTTTAACCAACGATGCTTGTTTCTAATTGAGTTTTTGGTTGTTTTGAATTCCAGCCACTTGTATTCCTGCCATTTTAAGAACTCTGCGTATGTTTTTGAGGTTCCTTTTTGTATGGAATTACTACTGATAATTTAGATTCCTTATTGTTCGTGTTGTCTTGCGAAAATTTGACATTCGTGTCGCCATTAATATTATTGTTATTATTATTATTAACAACAACAATAAGGAATCTAAATAATCAGTAGTA